GCCACGCACACTGGCACTGCTAAATACAAGCCGCTATCCTCAGGCAGCCGGCGTGCATGGCTCACAATAATACTAATTTAAGATCATCTGCAGTAGTAACCGACTTTTACGCTCTATGTGCAGAAATAAAAACGAAAGCTTGGCAACCACTGTTGTTCCCAGCATTGAATTTTGCACTGTTCAGGTGATAAATACTGTGGCACTGGAAATACGTAACTACTGAACTGCGTAACATTTTTCCCAGCTTTACTGTAAATTTTGTCACATGCTCAATGCAAACTTATAGCCCAGCTACACAGAAGCACTAATTTGAGGCTACTACAGGCAAAGCTGACGCCACAGAACTGGTGCAAAATGCAGCACTGTTGATTTTATGTTTCGTATTAGAAGTGTGCCTCCACGAGAGAATGCACATTACGATACAAACATGTACATAAATGGCACACTTGGGCTGAACTGTTTAATGCGCAAAGTCGGAAGAGATAAATTGCGCTTGCTCAAAATTTTGCAAATTAGGCTTATAAATGCTTCATATTTTATTTTAAAAAGTGCTTTTTACTATTATTACTGTCTTTTAATAGATGTAATTGTCACTGTTATTGTTCTGTGCACTTGGAAGGGTCTTCCTGTAAATTTTCAGCATGGGGAAGAAACCAGCACATATGTGGGGTAAAGTAACAGCTAATTATAGTCATTCTTGAATCTTTATAAAAGAGTGCCTCTTTCAACAGCTCTTTTTCAGTGAAAACTAGGTTAAAAATGAGGAATATAGGGCATGTTCAAAATACTGCATCTGTACAGCAAGAATGCACATCTTGCCTCCTACAAAGAATGGAATGGCCATGCATCAGTTTTGCAGAGTCTGTTCCCTAATATTAATTCAGTATCCATATGTAGATTTTCTTTCCTTAAAGCTCAGCAAAGAAAAAGATGGGAGTTCTTGGAATGGCATGCTACTTGTTATGAAAACTTCTTAATCGCAAAAAGTTTTGGCAATATACAAACAGAAACTCTTGTAGCGGAGCACACACTCAAAGCATAATGAAAAACACAGTGTGTACAGCTTAACCATATAAGAACGAAGGACATGACAGAGAATGAAATATTCACACATGTGGCAGAAGAAGGGGGTGGATGCATTGGTCTTTAGGGATGCATGGCTCAAACTGTACCTCCATTTGAGCACTTGCCACACTGCGCATATATCTACTCTTGCCGTCACAAAAGGCCAAGCTATTCCGCTCAGTCTCTCTCACTCATCTCTTGCAGGTGGACGTCTGCCAAACGTGCGGCCTGCTGGCCTACTCCCACTGGTGCCACTACTGCCGCTCGTCGCGTAACATATCTACTTTGCGGATTCCTTATGCGTGCAAGCTGCTCTTCCAGGAGCTGCTGTCAATGAATATATTTCCACGGCTTGAGCTCAAAAGCCACTGCAGCAGACGCACCTTTGCTTCGACTAAGCATTGACAATTGGGGATCTTGCGTCTAGGTTGGAAAAGCCTAGACGTATGGAGTTTACATATGAATGGCTTGGCAAATGTATAGTTTACAAATATTTCATATGCAAAGCCAACTAGCTTCACCTTACTAAAAATAAACAGTATTTACACCCTTCCCCTCCTTGCTTTCTTCTATTTTTTTTTTTCTCATACTGCAGCTGTTAGCTGTTAAAACTTGGATCGATTGATTGATTGATATGTGGGGTTTAACGTCCCAAAACCACCATATGATTATGAGAGACGCCGTAGTGAAGGGCTCTGGAAATTTTGACCACCTGAGGTTCTTTAACGTGCACTCATATATGAACTTACATTGGGCAATTTTGAACTAAGTGCTTAAGAGTGCTACGAACACTTCTTCATACAAAAATGAAGCAGCGAAGATTATTGATTCATTAGATTGATATGTGGGGTTTCACGTCCCAAAACCACTATATGATTATGAGAGACGCCGTAGCAGAGGGCTCTGGAAATTTCGACCACCTGGTGTTCTTTAACGTGTGCCAAAATCTGAGCACACAAGCCTACAACAGAGGCTGTGACAATTGGAATTGTGCTTATTGCTACGGTATGGCACCACGCAGAAAAAATCTTGTATTTCGTAGCCATAACAGTACAATCATGTACAGAACAGTATAGCAAGTGGGTGTGCTATCGAGTGTGATGAAGGAATGGTGATGAGTGACCACAGGGTGAGGAAAGAAAACATAGAACAACTGTGTATATTGTCATGCCGGCAAAACCATGAATACTATGACAAACTTGGAGCACCTACAAGTGATGCACCAATACGCCGCCAGCCCCATTCAACTGAAGTGTTCACTTCAGTCTCCACTGGAATGCTTAAATCGTAGTCTCACTATCTGCTATGCAAGTTTGTGTGCACGAAGACGACATGGTGAAACGAGTAGATATGATGAAACGATATGATAAAACTGGTAGGCTTTCAGACAGCTGTGCTGGAGTTCTTTTGGGCTTTTTACCGGAGGAAGAAGGTCAAATTATGCGGAGTCAATCATGTTTTTGATGGAAAAAAAAAACACAAACGTGTGACACAACATTTTCAAACTGCTATTCCTGCGGCTGGCTAGCGTAAACATAGAAGCATATATCACCACCGATGTTTTCGTGCATTTTTTCTTGTAATATTGCCAACTTATTGTTGAATAAACGACATCATTTGTGTATGACATGTATTAGACAAGCTTTTGCGATTGGTGGGAGTAAAACATACAATTGTCAAACAGCACATGTTGCATTTAGTAATGCATGACATTTTCGCAAAGCTTTCTGTGCTGTAGTTTAGGTAGTTCTGTTTGTAGGCGTTGCTTGATCTGCACGAGTCCGTCAGTCTCTTTAAGTGCCAGCTTTGCAAGCAATCTCAGCCATCACGTAGTGCAATAAAATCGCGTAGCACGTCTAGTGCAAGGAAAATAAAACTTCAAATTCTGGCGGTCCACTACGACTGCCAGGCATGCAGGGCTTCTTTTTTACTGTTCACATTCACCAACTGCACAGTCTACAAACCGCATCGCTAGATGAACAGTGGTACAGTGGAAAAGCAGCAGCAGGGTGTGAGAATCAATAGATCTGTTGATAAATTTTTGCCAATGAAATGTAGACTGCAGACCTGAGAACATTTTGCTGGCTACCATTCTGTTTCGACAGCTCTCCATAAATTATCAGTTAACTTGTGTGGAGCATAAATCCACGGTGAACTAGCTACAGCATGTACATAAAAGTGGCTACAGGATCACATGCTTTGCACGGCATATACAAATCCAGTGGTACTGCTGGTTTTTGAAGCATGGTCACGACGGAAAACTAAAAAATTTTATTCTATGTCAGTCAGTCATCTGTCTCTCACATGTGTTCATCTTTTGTAGCCCTAAAATCGTTATGTATGTTCCAGGTGCGTAAGACACGGTAATTTACATGCGACATCGCGAAGCACCGCTCATGGGTGGACTGCTACATGGCCACGCCAGTGACTTTTGTACACTCCCACATTGTGGTGCCACCGGCACAGAGCACACGTTTCCTATAAACATTTATAGCATAGCCACATTTAGTAAGCTGATCTAAGAATAAGTTCCAGCTGTTTTTTGGTACAATACTCATAAAACTGGTCATACACATTAACCCCATAACGCCCAACATATCAATATTAATACGGCAAATTCAAACGTCCCTTTCATGGAAGAGATTGAAACTGAATCCCTGAAGGCTGCTGTCTGGCACTCTTGACATGCTGGAAAGTGTTTTTGCTTGTAGATACTTTCGATTTTTACTACCAGAGGTCTGCGAGGCGAGTTGTAAAAATGGCAATCACCAGCAGCACGTGCCTCGGAACACAGAGACGAAATTTTTATTCTAGAAAAGGTAAGCATTCATTCATTTATGACAGTGACAGTATCGATGCTGTTCTGTGTACGTTTTTGAATTTTTGACGTAATTTTCTGGCCTAGATTATAGTTCTGTGCTCCATGATGACGTCACGGATTAAACCGTATCATATATGATAGAGTAGGCTTTAGTGAAGCCTTCTTTCAAGCCATGGGTTTTTTGCCCTTGTGACTTGATCACGATACGCTACTGCACTACCCTAACACTTTGAACATAATATATTTCACTGCAGAAGGCGAAATACAACTTGACCACACAGTTACGTTAGTTGTGGTTACACTTAATTAATATACTCAAATGCACAAACTGTCCTTCGCTGCAGATTTCACCGTTGATCGCAGTTTGTTTTTGTTAGGTAGTGCTGTGAATGATATCCTCGCACGTGTCACTTCAGGAAACAGTGTGAGTCACATAAACCACCTTTCAGAATGTGATGAAGAAGAATGGACCGGTGCCCCTGATCACTTAAATGAAGATGAAGAGGTGCGTTACTTTGAGGCGGTTCCACTGTTGCATCATCATCTTGCTGCTCTGCCGAAAGATTGGAAGAGGACAGTCTGCTAGCCTCCCATCATTTGTCTCTCAAAGAAAAAGAAACTTGCGCCAAAACCGCTCCAAAATGATGTCAGGACAAACGGTGTTGGTAACTTTCTCATTGTATCAACGAAGAGGCTGCACTGTTCTTCGAAAGAAAACGCGTTGAGTTCTGTTATTTGTTCAAAATGCGAGGCAATGCTTTGTTTTAACAAAAAAAAAATCTGGTTTTTGGATTTCTACAGGCAATAAGCTCCCGCTTTCTGAAAGTGGCAAAGAAGTGCACTGTACCAAATATTATACAGAATACGGTTGCGTAATACTTGCATAATTCTGCAATATTTCTGTATAAGTTCGTTCATACTGATCTCAGAATTAAATATACAAGTTATCTTATTATTCCTTTAGGTGCCTTTGTGCCAAAGCTTTCAGGGTTAAATGTCTGCACGGTGCACAGTCAACTTCCAACAGACCATACCACAGTGTTTGTTTCATGGCTGCCATGAAATAAAAACAAAAATGTTCTGACAAGTAATTGGGATATTAAGTACACAAGGAGAAACACGACTAAGCATTTTTATAAGACATAACAAGATGTAGAATGCACAAAACAATCTTGGTTCTTACAGAACGGTGCGTAAAACAGGCAGTGATTGTCCAGCTGAAAGATGATAAAGCGACGTACCAACCAAGGCAATTCACTTGAATCCACAAGTGAAATAACCTGACACACTATATACAGGACAGCTGTCCCACCTAAAGAAGGTCGTAGAAGTAATCCAAGCCCTGGCCCAGCTCCCAGATGGCCAGACCAGTGCCTAGAGATTCTGCTAACTTCACTCGCTCGTTGATTGAGTGCAGGGTGGGGTAGAAGACTGTCCGCTTGCCATCTTGCAACCTAAGATGAAAGCGAAAAATGAGAATTGTGACAGGGAACCGTTTCATAAGCTGCAGCAGGAGCTTTTATCTAGCCTGAATCGTGGCGAACTAAAATCGGGAGTGAAGTGAGCTAATGTGTCGTTAGTGGTGACCATATTTTTTTCTGAATGTCGATTTTAGAAGTCGCCGCTGTTGGCCAAAGGTCGCCCCTGTGCACTTGAGAGCACATCCATGCTATTGACCCATTTTTTTTTTTTCATTAAATGTATTAGTATCATTACGACCTTTAATTCTGCCTAAGAGTAATAAGAAACATTGAGAACAATAGTTATGAGTGTGACAATGCATTGTGTGCATTTTCGTATGTCCTTCCGTCCTTCTTCCTACAAGCTATGTTTCTCAAGACTACACCGAACTTATAACAAGCCCAGGTTTCCACACTAAAGGGCACGTAGCTGATGATTAAGTGACTGCAAGAGCACAAATGAATCTCAAGCAATAGATGTACAGCCTATGGGTGCAAAAACCCAGAGGGTTAGGCTCCCCAAATACCTTGGGGAAGGGGGGACACAAGCCGCGTATACCATTTGAGTGAGGCACGCAGGATAAATCTTTCATCATTAAAATAAAAAATTTACAAGATTAAAAATGCACGGTTCATTCCAGCATGTCTGCAATAAAATTCAACTACTAATTAAAGGCTGCTAAAGCTTGGGGGGTTAGCGAATCCACCTCCTTCATTTGACATCTCCAGTACCACATCAAAATGCAAAAACCGGATGAAGCATTCAAAGGCAATGGCGCCTTTTTATTGCATCACAGTCTATACTTAACAGGACCCATTTTATAAGGTAGACATACCTTTGTCAATGTCGACAAGTTCACATCACCAAATAAAATTGCAATAGAGTTAATGGTGGCTACACAGATTGTTCATGCAATTATTAGGCCGGTTCTTCTTGGAAATCTTAGTTGCTTCTGGTATTTTTGCAATAAAATTTACAGATCATCATAATTAGGTGCATCATGATGACATAATGTAACCATCACGCGCAAGGCTATAATTTTTGTTATTCGAGCCCAAGTGCTGGTTATGAAACCTCTGCTCTGAGGAAGCCTACCAATGAAGCCTGCCAGCTTGCACGAATGCATATTAAACAGCAATACAACAATGCCCAAGAACCCACAATGACTAGACCAAGAGTAGTGGTGACCACATTACGGCGTGGACACCGACTCAATGAGAAGCTTCTGTGCAAGGAATTTGGGGCCAACAAGATAACCCAATGACTCAGGTTGCTAGTCTGCAAAATTATGCCCAGTGGAGTGAAACAGTAACAGTAACGATTAGTGCGACCAGAAAAAGTCCAGATCATATGGCTCGAAAAGTTTTTAGGCATTAGTGGACTTGAAAAACATTTTCATCTCCTACCCTTTATTACATGCCCGTTTCTTGCTTTGATCCCATTGTGTTGTTTTCAGCATCCGGACGACTCTTTTTTTGTGAGGGGGGCAGTGCCCTGTCCGTTCATGTCTGTTTTGCGATCTGCACTTGACATTTTGTCTCTAGGCATAGGGATGTGCGCAGCGTCTTCAGATGCTATCCTGTGTTAACATTCGAGACTTGCTCGACACACCAGCGTTTGAGACGACAGCCTGCATCTCGAACATCCTGCAACGCATGGTATAGTGAATGGACCGCCGCTTGCATTCCGAGTCAGTCCGACAGCCACTGTTTGGCCACATTGTTGTTTGCAGTCCCAGAGTTGTTCTTTCACTTACTATAAAGCGCAAGTCTGCTCACTATACCCTCCTTACTAAAGTAGTTTCCAGTTGCATCAGTCTGAGCGCCAGCTAGTTCTTCGTCACCTACTTGACAACACAATTGTTAATCTTCCAATTTCTAACACATCGCCTCAGCAAAGCTGTAAACTAGATCACTTTGCAGATAAAGTACACAAAATACTCACTTGTACTCGAAGTAATGCTCCGACGCTTCATTATCCCAGTTTATCAAGTGCTTCTTGCTTTTAGAGAGCTCTTGTATGAACCTGTAAAATAATCGCATGTTGTTCTAGTACATGAAGACGAGGAATTAATTCAGTCACTCGGTTTGAGAGAACCTAGCGAGTCAAGAACTGGATATAAATGTTGAGTTTGTTGTGGATATAGACAACTCATTCAAGCACTTTCTAAAAAAATGATGCCCATCTATGCCACATGCAGCACACAAGCAAGCTTATAGAGGCTTGCAGTGAACCAGGTTTACACAATGTGCTGAAATCAGGACATACTGTCTGAAAAAATGACATACTGCCACGCGATGACATGAACTGCTGGCTGTGCCATGCTTGATAAAATGTAACAGGTGCAGGGGCATCGGTCCCGCTTTTGTAGGAAGATAAAGACCGGCGTATAACTATATAGCTTTGTTATCATATGCATATGATAACAATACGACCACCGAACACATCCACCAAGTTGCAAAGGTCAAGACCACATTCTCTCTGCACAGTAGCCATATTTGTATTGAACACCTTTTTTTTTTTTCATTATGTTCGAACTAAACGCATGCATGCTCTGGGTGTTTTCGCTTTCCTTTTCAATTGTCACTAAGTGTTTGCACAAAGCATGCTACGCAAAGAGTAAAAATTAGTTCATTTGATGTATTCCTATTAACGCTGACATCAACGCTTTTCCCTCTGCAGCCAGAACTAAAACACTGACCTTCATTGAAAAATTTCAAGATCATTGCAACAAGGCAAATAAGGCTCTAAAGACCAATTTGATGACATGATGCCAGTTACACTAATATCAGTATTACAAGAGAGATACAGCCACCTGCACAGCCTAACAGTGCAGTGTTTTCTCTTTCTAAATCATAATAGTAGTACTGTACTGAAACATACTCTGTAGCATCTCTTTCGATCACTTCTGGCACTGAATGATTCTGGCATTCAGCACGAGCATTTGGGCTCGTGCCCAAATGCTCGTGCTAAACAAATTTTGAGAATATGTCAAAAGGACCTCAGCACTATTTCACGTGATCTGGAGATAACGAACCATGTCAACGCCTGTCTCGGAACTCCTCAGCCAGCACTGGAAAACTTCCGATTATACAATACAGCTAGAGTTCTAACAATGTACAGTACTCATGCAATGAAATGCGACATTTTTGTATTACAAGGACTGCTCATAACAGCCATGAGTCATGTGGCTGCAAATGTGCCTGCTAAAAGGTTAATTCATTTATTAATATGTTGGGATTCACATCCCAAAATCACTATATGATTATGAACAACGTTGTAGCGGAAGGCTCCGGAAATTTCGAACACATGAGGTTCTTTAACGTGCACCCAAATCTGAGCACACGAGCCTAAGGCGTTTTTGCCCACATTGAAAATGCAGCCTCTACAGCCGGGATTCGATCCCGCGACCTGCGGGTCAGCAGCCGAGTGCCTAAGTCACTAGACAATCGCAACGATGTGCCCGCTAAAGGGAAGGTTGGCTATGATGTAAGTATCCAAGTCAAAATAATGTCATTATGACACAAATTTTCAGTTCCTGAGTACGCTGCCAACCATTTTCACCTATGCTAAAAGGTGTAGAGGGCACCGTCTATGTGTTGTTTAAAAAACAATTGAGCTTCTTCAAAATGGGCTAAATCCAGAACCGGCACAAGCTCAAATAAGGCTCTCTTGGCACATATATACTCTCCTCTAAAACAGTAATAATAAATTATTTATATTAATTATTAATTTATTATTACTGTTATAGAGGGAAGTTGATAGCATGTATGTGCAAATACAGCCTTATCTGAGTTAGTTTCAAAGACGATAGTCTTTCTTGGGGACCTTCGACGCAAAAAAAATTTTGTCTGTCTCTGTAAATTTGTCTGTTTGTCAACTCTTACAGGTATCTGGTACTTGAAACGGCCGACCCCACCCACAGTGCCCACTATCGTTGCTCAAGGTTGAGTGTTCATGCTTGTGCAATTGTCAAATAAAAAGCAATTACTGCGCATGTCTGGGGCACCATAACAACATGCATGTATTTTGCATATGCATCTCTTACTAAAAAATGCATACATAAGTAATTTTAAGGACCGTAGCGCTTATCACGCTGCACTTACCATGCAACGCTTGCACAGAACGGGGAGTGTTTCCAACGCTTTGCTAAGACGAGACGGTGGTGACACCTACCCGTCGCCTCGCGTTCTACGCCTTATCACCTCCTAGACGGGCACGCACAGCCATGCGCTTTGTTTTCCAAAAGAAAGCGCCAAATGGCGCTCATGTCTCACGTGTGACGTGACTTGATGCTCTCGTTCGCCTCCGCTGCACGCTCGAGGCGCTCTAACGCAGTGCCTCTGGAATACCATTCAAAGATTTTCTTGCGCAGAACATCAAATGAATGTTTTGTTCACTCTCTCCACACGCAAGACTATCATCTTTCGACGACATTTGCAGATTACATGCATATACAGGGCCAATTTTTTACTTTGAATTTGGCCCACTCAGAAAGAAAATAAAAGTTCCTCAAGGGAAATTGTGGTTATGTAATTTGAAAAAGCCTTGCAACTGCAACCTTTGTTTAGAAGCAACAACACGTACGTGTCAGCAGGCATCTTCCAACTCTGACTGATACCTGCCTTCAGGAATTAAGAAGAAACTTCCCATTACAAGACGTTCCAAGGATAACAATGACCGACATTGAGCAGACTTCCACAAGCAAAACAGGAAGACAGTCCAACATTACCACTAAAGAAAGGTCTGTGCGACTCTTCAGAAAGTTAGTTTCGGCCTTCCTAACTTTTGAATAGTACAGCAGATGTCAGAAAATCTGCCGGTAACGAACCTTAGATGACGATCAACACCACACTGCCTCTGTGTCTTCATATAATGGCAGCTATTTATTCATCCTTAAAACCCTATTTCGTGCAGGTAACAAGTACGGGAGCATCCGCTCCTAAGCTCCTCTTCGTTGGAGAGCACCAAATCTCTTGCACTAATGCACATATTAAAATGCCTAAATAGTTTTGGTTTTTGTGGAACACTCTTTAAAAACTATGCTATTACTGTTGCCAAGTTCATGTGAAATTGCTTGAAGATGGTCACCGATTGTACAGAGACAGACACATGTCCAAATTAGACTGCTTCTACAATGAAAATAGTGTTGCATATTCTGAAACACGGGCAGCAGCGATCACTTTGGAATGCACGGTCAGACGCTTACAAATGACATGCAGGCCTCAATCCCCGAGTTCAAACTTACTTAGGTAAGTTTAGAGGTTAGGGTATTATTCTTCACTGTAACAGCAAAGCCATACAGTTGAACCCCATTATAAGAGGCATGCTCTGGGCAGTAATTTCTGTCTTTTATATGAGATGTCTCTTACAAAGGGTAGCACGTATGCATTTTCTTATATACCCATATTTTACTGTAGGCACACTGGTGTCTTGTTTACCCATTAGTCTCTTATATCAGTGTCTCTTATAAAGGGGTTTCCCTGTAATGTCACATGCAGCATAGGTCACGCTAGTTTAAAAGAAAAACAGACTGGCCAGCTATTTGGTACTGCATAACTTGAGACTAAGCAGGAAGAAACGGTAGGGGACAACAAAAGAGAAGAGCAATATCTCCTTTCGTCCTGTGTCAGTTCATGACACTGATCCTCAAGATATGTGGTACCATAAAAACACCGGGGCCCAGTGCAGAATCCTTATTTTTTCTGTCCCCTTGTGTCAGTTCTTTGCAATAAACCTTCGGGTATTCTAGTTCGAAAATTCAGAAAAGTGTGACAAGTACGTTGCCTACTGAAAGTTAAACAAACCCTGGCCCTGAACGTGACTTCACAGGCAGGTCAACTACCACTGCTTGCATTCAGTGCTGTACAAATGCCATAAATAGCTCCAGATACTAGTCGGCCGACCTAATGAGCGTTAGCAAAGTGCGAAAACTCGTTGCATTCCGAAACCACTGTATACCAAATCACCAATCCTACTCACAGAACACCACAGTGCTCACTCTGCTGCTTAGCTAGAAGAACAAGTAGTAAAACACTTCGATTAGTTGCACATGTCAAAAAAGAAGGATTTTATGAACCATGAGTTAACCAGAAGGAAGATGATGCAATCCAAGTGCGCTACGCTAATGTGCTAGACATGGGTGAAAGGGTCTGTAAAGACAACGTTATCGTCATCAATGGTACTGAGAGTACCACATAGATGTCAGTTTATAAATCTAGATGACACAGGTAAAAAAAAAAAGTGAACACTTGACAAGTTATTTTTCTGCCAAGCGCACAGTCGCATTTCCACTTGAATTTCTTATGCACAATGACTCACGTCCATTCGCATATTTTATACTTTCACCGACTCACACGTGCCATTTCAGTTGGAAGAGTCATTCACTCCATGGAGCTCCATGGCGACTAGCTTTCATGCTCACTGGCAACGACCCAACATTCATGTCTAGACATAGACATGAATGTTAGGTCGTTGCCAGTGAGCAAGAAAGCGAAGCATGAAAGCACTGAATCACACTCCCACCTAGAAAGCTAGTAGGCGTTTAAGATGTACATGTAAGCGAGTATATACCCACCTATGAGTAGTTTTATATGCCTGACAACTCAGGATTACAAAGCAAAATTACAAAACAGCATACATAACCACTGCGACTAAACATCACACTTATGCTGCTCCCGCAGCATGATACTCACTGGCTTCCAAGGATTGGTCCACCGCCTACACTTGTATACGAATAACCATAAAAGTTGAGGCCCAGAAGTATCTTCGCACGCTGAGGACCTTTCTCAGGAGCCAGGAGTTCTACGCACTTGCGTACCCATTGAATAGGACTTGTTGGCCCAGGTCTGGAAGATAAATATGCTTTGCAGGGCATGCCACTCTAAAGAAAAACAGTACTTCAAGGTATACGCAGTACTTGAGGCATTTCAAAGCTTGCTTAATGTGAAGCTATCTTGCTATACCCCACGCATTGTTCAGGCCACATCTACAACATTTCTAACAACTGTGTTACGCAATATTCATCTCGCTCTTTGAGACAGAGAAAGCAAGGAGTAAGAAGATGGGTTAAATGGGTGCCAAGAAACTGCATTTCAGCACTCACTGCGAATGTCCTTGAGACATTACGTAAAAATAACAGAGTTCCTTACGACACCTTGAGTTATATAATAAATTAATGCAATTAAAATGCTATACTGGTATCAACGAATGCTTTCAAGCATAACTAACAGCCAAGCTGAATAACGGAAGCAGTAAGGCGCAAATGAGACGAACACAAGAAGTGACATGGACTGATGTTAAAGGCACAGGGCAGGCGTTACACCTCACATGTATTTCGAGGCTTTTTTAAAGGGGCCCTGACAAACAAAAAAACGTCACGCCCGCCTTGTGACCTTGAGCACTTTCTTCTTTTTTTTCTTTCAACACACAGCTTTTTCAGTGCGATCGTGCGTGCACACGTGGACAAGTGACGGCCTCCTGCGGTGCTTTCTGTAACGGCCGAGTGTGCCATGCTCAAATCGGTCAATGGCTGAAAAATGAGCATTATAAGAGTGATTTTGGAGCGTCTTCTGTCATTTGTCAAGGGAAGAGAAAGCCATTTTCAGCCGACTTTGATAATTTATTCTGAATTCCGGGCCGCGTGCTGCGCTATAACATTCGGCTTGCATGTTCTCGGTAGCCTCTACTACTGATTGGCAGCGTTTTCTGACCATGCTGAAAAAGTGTTGCAGGGCCCCTTTAAGACCCATTTTTTTCTGGAACTGCTACGTGTAAAGCATTCGGGTTCGGTTCATTTAATTCGTTGGTGTCTCTTCTTGTAATAATAATTGTAATTCTAGAATTATAATTGTATTTCGTGTCGACTTTATGGCTATTTTTTCTAGCAAAGCAAGTGATATTAATGAAAAACTGCTGAAGTATTTAAAACTATTCCGCATACATAAATCATTCTGGTTCATGTTTGATTCTTTCTGATAAAGAAGCAGGCTTATGTTTTTTCAAGGTTTCTTGATATTGAGGCAAATGTAGCAAAAAAATTCATTTCTAGATATTAGGAGTCAAAGAATAAAAACAAGTCATTTCATGTTTTGTTAAAGAAATGTAAACAGTTTAATTAATACAAGCTGCCTTATAACCATCACATGAATCAGTTTTTTGCTTCATTTCTTGTTTCTTTATTTCCCTGGCTTGTTTTGTCATATCTTCTGACTCTATAATGGCTCAGTACCGTCAATGACGATCAATCTTACCGTACCATGTCACAGTGCGCCTTGGTGGTATGCCAAACAGCCTTGAGAATGTTTTTTCAGGCCATGCAGCTATTTTTTAAGAGATAGAACGGTTTCAAATGTAGCAATCCCGAAAAATTGCATTCCAAAGAACACGATCCACTGTGTTTACTACGTGTGCCATGGTACCTTTGCATTCTGTGCAGACACCAGTTACTCATAATCACAATTTTTAGAAGCTCCACATCGATCAAAGCATAGCGATTGTCATTACACGTAACATTTTGTCCATGCAATGACATGTAAAGAGGACAACACTGAAGTGCTCTCGCTCTCATTTCTGTTAGTAGCTGAAGCTTGTCGGTTTCCAATTAGACTGCGCTTTCTAGACAGTTTTCTTAATACGTCCATATAAAAACATTTTTTCCCATCGCAACAAAATCACCAAAGGTGCAACTAAACTCAATATTAATGCACATAGTAACCATGTCTCCGTGTGCATCTCACACACAAAGGTAAGTGAATTCGGTAAATGGCACGAGTGTTAAAAAGAAAAGCTGCACCATGAGCTTTTAAGCAGCTAGAGTATTTCTTTTAAAACTTAATGAGATCAAGAAAACTACTGCTTTGGATTAAAAAAATCACTTGAGGCAGAAAGGTCTGGTTGCGCACTTTCCTAAAGAAAGAAGCTTGGCTTCTCGTCATGTGGTCCCGAAAACCTGGACATTTCGGTTCAATGAAGGCATGCGAAAATGTGTGGGCCACTAGGTATTGTTAAGAAAGCACTTATCATTTCAAAAAAGTAAAAAATAGAATTTAGATTTAAAAAAAAATTTTTACCCTACCCTATGTTATGGCATGGCAAGATGGGCTAGTTGATGACTGGTTCAACGAAACTTGGTTAAATTAGCATATAGAATGACGAGACCTAGTCCAGTGTGCTCTTTCTTTGTTTCCTCGTTATAAATGCCGATTTAATGATGCTTGATCAAGCCTAAGCTGATGCTAACCTTGCAAGCAAACAGAGCAAGTATACACTTTTATTTATTTATTTATTTATTTATTTATTTATTGATACTGCGATCTTTTACAAGATCATAGCAGGGGTGGTACAAAACATAAACATAAACATCAGTGGAAACAGGCAAACAAACAATCAAAAACAAATGTAATACAAACTTATGTAACTGATAGCTGCAGTGATTCTTCGAGACAAGAGAATCAACAAAAAGCAAGGTACAAACATAGATAACAATCATTTCTGCAGTGACTCTTCAAATGCAGACAATGTATTTAGGGTAACAACATCGTTATGTAGATTGTTCCAATCCACGATAGTCCTCGGATAAAAAGAATATTTGAAACAATTTGTTCGTTGCATCAATGGAGAGATAGTAAGATTGTGTCTCTGTCTTGTTCCGTAACCCAACGAAAAGTGAACGATATGTGATGTGTCAACTGCATAGTGACCTTTTATTAACTAGAAAAGAAATTTTAAGCGCAATATTCGATTTTGGTCCGGAATGTTTGGAAATTTGCTTTTCAAGAGAAGTTCTGTAATTGAAGTAGGACCGTACGAGTTATAAATGAACCTAACAACCTTTTTTTGCACCCTTTCAAGTTTTTGGATATCAGTATGAGTGAACGGGTCCCATATGACCACAGCATACTCCAGTATAGGACGGATAATGGCATTGTAAGCGAGGAGACGAATGCTTGGTGTGGTTGATCTTAACGAACGCCTTATGAAAAAAAGTTTACGGAGAGATTTAGCTACTACAAAATCTATGTGCTTTGACCAGGATAGATTTTTTGTAATCCAGAGACCAAGGTACTTGTATTGAGTTACTTCTGACAGAATTGTATTGTTGGTGGAGTACTGGAACAAAAGAGGGTCTTTTTTAAGGGTAATTCTCATAAAAACTGTTTTAGCGAAATTAACAGGCATCTGCCATTTGTCACACCACGAAATTACTTTTAGAAAGTTCCGATTTAGTTTAATTTGATCGTCAACTGAGGTGATCTTTTCATATAAGACACAGTCGTCGGCGTACAACCTAATGTGAACAGAAAGGTCAGTGACCATATCATTTATATATAACAGAAAAAAAAGAGGCCCAAGGACGGATCCTTGAGGAACGCCTGAGTTTACAGGAGCGTGTTTAGAAGACCGTAACAAATTGAAGACCGTAACAAATTGACGCCTGTTTGTTAGATATGCTGTTATCCAGTCAAGGATCTTTTTGTTTTGTAGAATACAAGTTAATTTGTGAAGTAATTTAGCATGCGAAACTTTATCGAAGGCTTTTTGAAAATCCATAAATATGGCATCCGTCTGCTTCCCTTCGTTAATTGCTTGAGCAAAGTCATGCGTAATTTCCACTAATTGAGTATTCGTTGAAAAGCCCCGCCTGAACCCATGTTGAACATTTGTTAATACTTTATGAGAATTAAGGAAGGTAATTATATGTTTATGAATAATGTGTTCAAGAATTTTACATGATGTTGATATGAGGGAAATCGGTCGGTAATTCGGAATAGATGACTTATCTCCCGCTTTGTGTAAAGGCTTAATTTTGGCGATCTTCCAGTCATCTGGCAGTTGGCCCTCATTCAACGAATGGGTATACAAAATAAACAAATAGCGAGAACACCATTCTGCGTAGCGCTTCAAGAAGGTATTCGGAATGCCATCTGGCCCGGTTGATTTTTTAACATCCAGATTCAGCAGTAAGTTTAAAATGCCATTCTCGGAAATGACTAAGTCTGGAATAGGTGGGAGCGATATTGAAAAATCGGGAAGGATGCCGTTATCACAAGTAAAAACAGACTTGAAGTGGTTGTTGAAGGCAGAACAAACTATTTCTTCATTGCATGTTCTTTGGCCGCTTATCGTGAATGAGTCAATCGAGCGAGATGTTGGCGTGATCAGCCTCCGAAATTTTTCGGGTGATGTTTTGATAAAAGTTGGAAGCGATGTTTCGTGGTATCTTTCCTTGTCGCGCGCAATTTGCAGTTTTAGTTCGCCCGACAGGTTAGCTATCAGCGGTGTACTGCCACGTAAATCAGCCTGGCTTAATAAACCACCTAGAAGTTTTAAGCGCAAAGTAACAGAAGATGGTCTTGCCAAAAGATGCTCGCAAATCTTATTAAGACAGAATAAATTCTATACCTCTGTGGGCTTGAGTAGTCGTAGGTCATCAGGCTAAATGCAGTCACGTGATCCACCAAGTTATCAAAGTCCTTCTTCGAAAACATTCCTGGCATGTTCCTGGAGAGCCAAAAGATAGAATTAAAGCACACTGACATGTAACCATGGCATGGTAACAAGACTAGATGCAGGAAGTGGTCAGGCCCTAACTATCAGTAAGTCGGCACTCATCCAGTCTTCTGTTCCTTTTCCTGCACAGTTTGTTACACCATTTTCTTGCACGTGCAAAAAAACACCAACATTGTGATATTACTTGCGCTTATCGTAACAACAAACATGGTTGTTGATGTTCACAAATGCTTACTCACCCTTGGTACACTGCAGGTGGAATGACAAGAATCAGGTCCAAGTTCTCAGCTTGGAGCTCCTTGGCCAGATGTTGAACAAGTTTTGTCATTTCTCTAGAAGGACAGAATGAGACATTTGTTATTTGCACAGGCACACAATTTCTCGATCATTAGAGACAAAAAAAATGTTTGTATAATGCTCCGTCATACCAATGTCTTAATAGTAGAGATGATAACAAACAACCAATTAGCATACATAAAGTAGATCCACAACAACCCCTAATTATTATGCCCCATATAACCCCATAAACCTTAAAGAAAGGCTCAAGAACGTAAGTAAAGTGAAAGAAAGCGCTGATTTACCCATACGTTGACCAGCTCACCTATGAGTTGACTCACCGAGACTCACTCAGACTCAGATTGAGCAGCGAGTCAGAGTTTGAAAAAGTCAGGCTGAGTATTATTTTCAGTGGTCTGAGCGAGTTTAGGTGGGTAATATTTTCGAAATCAGAGTCCGAGTGAGTCCTAAGGGCAAAATATATTTTATAAGCGAGTCTGAATGACCTCCACATTTTTTCGCCGTCCTATGGATTCACCTGACGAAGTACTCCAACTAATGTCTCGCAACTACTACCTTAGTGAATCGATGCACAGGAAGCAGCGAAATTTCACATCATAGCTAGCAAGTTCGCTTTCTGAGCAGCCTCTCCATGCTGGCAACATTGTATTCTGACAACCCCAGAATTGGCCAATCACCTTTTCAATGTGCTGGTAGCGAATGAAAAAAACAACACAACTACAGAATGCACTTCACACAAATGTATTTACATTACTTGAAGATCCTATGATTAGATGAGCACTGTTTCTTCTAAATTCCTGCTTTATTTGCATGGCTGCACATAAATTCCGCAATAATGAGTAGGGGAAAGCAAGCTACAAAGGCACAAGTAAGAGAGGAGACCGCAGCAGTATGAGATAAATGTTTAATTGCCAGTCATGGCAGTTTGACATGGCTGAATGTTTGTTCTACTTTTTCAAGAATGCTTTCACTATTTGAAGTGCCAGCTAACCAGGCAGAGGTTCTTAATACCTTTGACAGTGTGTATTTGAACTATGGCTTAGTGAAATAACAAACGCTTGTTTTTTTGCCACAAAAAAATACGGACATTACATCAGGGACATTATAGACAAATCACTAAAGAATATTTCTGTATCTTTCTTTACAAAGAGCCGATGCCCATGATAAGTAAAAAAAGTAAACAGGTAAGAACTTACGCAGTCATCTGTCCTCCAAACTGTGACCACAATTCCAGGACGTATCCATTGAAGCCACTCTTTTGGGCTACGTCCACTAATGTCTTTGCCATTGCGCCCATCTTCTTCTTTGATGAGGATACTTTCGTTAGGAGTTGGGGCGTCCACTTTTCGAACAAAACACGAGGAACTGGGAGAATGAGAAATCATTCCCGAGAAGCACATTACACGGTGTGGCAGAGCATTCCACGGGAACATGTGATTAACTACAACCGTACTAGGGCTCCAAAAGTTAACATGGCAGCTTTGATTGAAGTGATGAAGAGTGTATCGAAACTAGACGTTAAAAGAGTGCCACCACAATGTGAGTAAAAGTGGAGAGGGTGATTTTTCAGTTGCTGTGAATGTGGGTGTGCACTAAATCTTCACAATTTGGTTGTCTCGTACTAAATCTGGGATCAGAGAGCATGTGAGCTTCTTCAGCCAGTAACAATGGTAGCTTATGACTATGAATGCATGAACTCGCCATTTAAGCGTTAATTTTAAAACAGAAATTTAATGCCCTTTTTACAGCTGGTATCCATTCAATAAAAATAATTAACGACACACAATGGCACTACCATCCAACCAGCTGCTTTCTTTGTGTGATGCACCTCATACTTATTCAAGGTGTCCTGCCTTAATTTGTAGTTGGAAGTTAGTGCCCGAGTCTGTCGTTTCTTGTTATTTGCCATCTCCCAAAATAAATGATTCCACACTCAACTCAAGGAGACGATGAATATATCTGTATTTCGACCAAGCTGCGCCAACTGCGCATTTATTTGTGCTAACTACCCACTAGACAAGTTTCAACTTCGCGAAAAACACAACACGTAAGTACATAAAAACCTCCACACACATGAAGTGCAGACTTCCAATTTGTTGGAAGTCTGCGTTTGGTTTGTGAGTGCGTGTTTTCATAGCTTTACGTGTTGTCTTCTTCGCGCATTTTAAACTCGTTCTTCGTACTTATAAACCTACTAGCCCGTCAAGGTGTCACACTTTCTACTCACCCATTCTTACAGCTTCCCCTGCGGATTTCACGTCCTGAACCCATCCCACGTCGACGTCATGCTGTCCGGCGACTGCAAAGCCCGTCGTCGTTTCTTGCGAAAGCTCGAGCTGCAGCCAAACTGGCGAAACAAAGCGAAACTTAGAGCCGAATATCTTGGCGATGTCGTATCCACGGTTGTTCCACTGCAAATTAAGAAACGCAGTCAGGGACAGCAGAAATGACGTAGTTGCCCACATTTCATACACGGATGTAACACGGTGCGCTTTCGATCGCGTTAGAGGCCGATCGGCATGTGGTTTCATGATCGCGATTGACTTATCTACGCGGGACGCGGAACGGAGCCAATCGGAGTGGATAAATTCGATCCCAACTGAGGCTCCATAGCGATTAAAAATGCCAGTGCTGCATCCGTATTATTTATTGATAAAATAGGCGCATGAACAGGCAAATTGGTTCCATGTATACGCACCGGGGTAACATAGCCAAGCACATCGCCGGCGAAACGCCTGGTTTTTGTTTTTGTGTTGCAGTAGGAGCGGTGATGCTTCAAAATATCACCGACTTTGAAAACTTCTTTCACTAAATCACGCTCGAAAACGTCCTCAGATCCGGGGTCTAACGCTTGTGCGCTCTGCAATATATGTAACATGAAACCAAAGGATTAATTAAGAATGCCACGCAAGCACACTGAAAAAGCTCTTCAGCTTTACCGCTTTATGTATTCAACTTATGGGCACCTACCTTAGATTTCTTTTTATCTGACGGCGATATAGTTCCATAAGCAGCGTGTAAAACCAGAGATAATGCCAGAAATAAAGGTAAGGCAGGTAAGGCGTGAATAGGCATTCTCGAAACCAAAAAGCCGCGCTGCCACAAAGTTTTCAGATTGGATTGGCTAGCTACGATTTCAATGCAGTTTGAAATAATAATAAAAAATTATGGAACAAACAAGTAAATGATTTCTACATGTATTTGTTGCTAATGATGTCATTAAGTGCAGAATTTTATTTTGTAATATAATACTTTGAATTTGTTTTCACAACTAACGTTCTTTTCTTTTACATTTGAGCACTCTAACGCACTTAATACACAGGCGGGAAATTTAGCTTGGAATTTGGGTTTTGGGGCAACAACGGCTTTAGACCAGTGTTGGTTACGTTTGCAGAAAGTTGAGTTGAATAAACTTAATTTGCCTAACAGTTGTCCCCGGGGATAAGCTGCCAAACACCCACAGAGAATGTTCCACAGAAGCCCATACGTTCAAAAAATTGCGGCTGATCAGCTGCTCATGGGGCTTGGCGCTTCTCTGTGAGGAGGGAACACTTCCGGAGGAACAAAAAATAAAGCGGATGTGACGCAATAGCTGGTAAACAAATGACGTCATCTTGTTGGCACTAGCACGTAGATCTCAAATTACTTTTCATAGGTCCCTGATCACGAAGGACTTGCGCTTAGGTGATCACCGGCGAATCCTCCACGAGTTCGCTCCAAGTCAACGCCAGCTAGTCTATAACTGGCTCATGACTAGATAGTGATGTTTAAGTGTACTGCCATTCAGTTTGTCTTGGTTGTACAAGCAAAGTTACTTTTGGAACTTTTATTCGGCGTTCGTGTTATCTTCTGCAGCTGGATTAAAGCACACAAAAGCATATCTGTAATACCTGCAGCGCTGCATATTTGCTTCACACATACGCAGGTTCTTCAGCGTGTAGAATGCTTGTGTTTCTCAGTTCTAACGGGAAGAAATGACGCCTAGTCATGCCAGAATTATGACATTTCACTTTTATTAAATGGTCACGTATGTACACTGCACACATTCGTAAAAAAAAAAAGTTGCCGGACACTGCATGTGCTATGTTTAAACTGCATTATGCTCCTATAAATTACCCTTAAGTGTGGTAATTGTAGCGCAGCTGATAACTTGCCAATATGCTCACCGGTAAGACGAATAACGGTAGGCGCGTGTTCACGAAGGAAATCAGTCCACAGGAATTCTGATGCATCAAAATCCAGCGAGCACAGTATTCCGAACCATTGTCATTGTTTCTTATCTAGAAGACATAGGTCGCCGAGCACACGTTTGTTGCTACTGCACCCCTGCACAGCACGTCGTTTGCGCAGGTACCGACGCAAGCACTTGGCGTTAAATGTAATCCACATCGTTCCACTGCCCGCTGGACACTGCGCTCAAGACGTTCAACAACGATGAAACCCGCTTCACAACTTCGTGCAAAGCAGAGAAGCAAGCATTGATATGTGGCGTTTAACGTCCCGAAACCACGATATCATTATGAGAGACGCCATAGTGGAGGGCTCCGGAAATTTCGACCACCTGGGGCTCTTTAACGTGCACCCAAATCTGAGCGCACGGGCCTACAATATTTCCACCTCCATCGGAAATGCAGCCGCCGCAGCCGGGATTTGATCCCGCGACCTGCGGGTCAGCAGCCGAGTACCTTATAAGAGAACGCAAGCAAGTGAGGAACACTGAAACACGTGAGGGGGTGTGTCGTCGCAGACGAATTTCACGAGCGTGCCTTTCTTCCATGCAGCCCAAGCTACTAGCCACTGCACCCAAGCCAACGTTTATAAAGTATCTATAAACGTTGGTCCAAGCGTCCAAGGACTGCACTGAGTAATAAGTAGTGGCGTGGGCAGAGGGCGCTAAAAGAAAGATCTTTTTTGCAATAACAAAAATTGTCATACATTCTTTGCTCATTACACCTACATAATATTTCCAGGGAAAAGAAATTTCATTTGTAAACCACAGCGATTGCTTCTCACTTGAATAAAAAAAAAATCGGCAGATTCGATGTACCTTGGGAATCGACGTTATGCGAAGCACGTGGAGGGAAGGTTACTGTGTTGTAACCTTCTTATTGAGCGACACGTTATGTAAACACGTTGCACACACAGATATATGCTGATGAGCCCACGTGCTTACATTTAGGTGCACGTTAAAGAACCCCAGATGGTCGAAACTTCCGGAGCCCTCCGCTACGGCGTGTCTAATAATCATACGGTGATTTTGGGATGTCAAACCCCAATTATTATTATTATTATTATTATTATTATTATTATTATTATTAATATTATTATTATTATTATTATTATTATTATATGTTGAATTGTTGCAGATGTGTATAGAACCAGTAAATGTATATGTGAAGAAAGGAAGTGGGTGAAAAGATACCTTGCCATGGGCAGGAACCGAATCTGCGACTTTCAAATGACGCGTTCGATGCTCTACCAACTGAGCTACCATGACGGCCATCCCCACTGCCACTTTGTAGTGTTTTTATATATTAACTAAACGTGGGAGTGTAAGTCAGCGTTATTCGAAGGTCGCAGGTTCGGTTCCTGCCCACGGCAAGTTATCTTTTCACCCACTTTCTTTCTTCACATTTAACTTACAATTCGGTCAATTAACTTCCCCTATACTTTCCTTGGCATTATTGTCTGTTAGGTATCATTGATATTGTGTGAAACACAGAAAAAACGAGTCCGTAAGTATACATTTCTTTCCTTGTATGTATATATATATATATATATATATATATATATATATATATATATATATATATATATATATATATATATATATATATATATATATATATATATATATATATATATATATATATATATATATATATATATATATATATATATATATATATGGGGTAACTCGAAAGATGTTCCTCGATCGGTGGACAAGGTCTATTCTTCAAATAGGTCGCGAAGGTTCGGGCGAAAGGTGGTTGAGTAGACCATGTCCCCCGTTCGAGGAATATCTTTCGAGGTCCCCCAAGAACATGTGCAAGAGCACGATGAAGGGCAATTTTTGACGATAGTGTAGAGTCCACTTATTAAAACGAATATTACTACTTGATGGAGTATTAATGAGATATAACACACAATCATGCGAATGAATGTATAGGGGACGTTATTAGAAGTAATTGTAAGGTATAAAATGTGAAGAAAAGAAATAAGAGAAGTGGATGAAAAAAATTGGCAGATCTCACGTACAATGGGAAGCGATGATATGCGTAGCACGAACGAGGAAGGGTGATAGGTCACTTTAAAATCAGCAAAACTATAAAAGGCAGATGTGAATTATGCCGTACATGACTTCCATGTCATGATTATCATGTTTGGACGTTCCATTTACCTTCGCCATCTATTAACGTGACCTAGCGGATACCAACTTTGTTATATATGGAGCTAGCGAAACGGTCGCGAGCGTGCTATGAGCGTATCATGTAGTCATGTTTTACACGAAATCCATATAATGTTCATCATATTTGGATGTGTCATTTACATTCATCGTCCATTCACGTCATGTATATATTACCAAATTTGGTATATGTAGAACTAGTGAAACGGCCGCGAGAACGCTATGGGCGTAGCATGTAGTCATGTTTTACATGAAACGCATATTATGGTTATCAGGTTTGGGCATGTCATTTACCTTTGTCGTCTATTCACTTCCCGTGATACCAAATTTGGTACATGTGGGGCTATCGCAACAGCGGCGAGCGCGTCATGAAGGGCCCAATATACTCCGACTCAACGTTGACGCACGCGCAGGCTGGGCTCAGCCATGCCACGCTGGCAAAACGCGAGCACTCTACATATAGTGTGACGCCAGGCGCGACCGGTGCGACCAGCGTCCATCGGCACGGCCCGGCCCGGTGGCAACCGACGCGAAATGTGACATGCCGCATTTCGCGCCTACAACGTTACTTACAATAGACAGCCCCGCGTCCGCCTCTCTTCGCGACGGAGGGACGCCGTGTGCGCTCAAACGCGCATGCGTCAAAGCAGCGAGGCGCGCGCCTGCGAGTATATGGCATGCAGATCCGCAGTGAAGGTCAGTGGGCAGATCCACTGATCTCTACCTGGGGGATATCGGCACCTGGCGTGGCATCACCAGCGTGACGCAATAAAACGAATGCAGACGCGCACGCGCGCAGGCTCACGTCGAAGTGTATTGGCGCCTTGAGTGTGGCGTCTATTATTGTTCTTACATGACACGCATCTCATGATTGTCATGTTTCCGCCAGTCACATACCTTCGTAGTACATTCACGTGACGTAATACCAAATTTTGGCATACATGAAAGTAGCGAAACGGCCACGAGCGCATCATGAGCATGGCATGTAGTCATGTTGTTACATGACACGCATCTCATGATTATCATGTTTGCGCCAGTCACATACCTTCGTCATCTATTCACGTCCAGAATACCAAATTCATTACATGCAAAGCTAGCGAAACGGCCGCGAGAACATCATGAGTGTCGCATGTAGTAATGTTGTTACATGACACGCATGTCATGATTTTGACGTTAGGGTCTGTAACTTGTGTTCACCATGCATTCATGTCATACCATACCAGTTTTACAACATATAATTTAAATGAAACCACCGCAAGAGCAGCAAGACCATGACATGTAAATCATGACATTTATTACATACATGTCATCATTTTCATGTTATGACTAGTCAGTAATGTTTATCTTACAGTCATGTTATATCAAACCAAGTTTGGTATCGATACCATTGTCCAAACAGCCAGGAGAGCTAAAGGGCGTAGGTGGCTAGATAGAGATAGATAGATAGATAGATAGATAGATAGATATATCTGATAGATAGATAGATACATACACTCAAAGTCGCCCAAGTTCACCTTAAATGCTTGGCATTTAAAAGTGGTTAACAATTCAGATTCATAGTACTTTACAATGGGAGTGCTGAAAGCGAAGTTATGAGAGAAACAGTGAGTGTTTGTTGGGAGAAGGTAATGATTTAGAGTACCTGGTACTCTCCTATGGAAGAGCTTAAAGCCGTCCCGCGGGCCTCGCACATGGCACCGG